CATCACTCATATTGGAGACCCTCCTGGATTTTGCCAGGTGGGGGTTGGCAGATCCCTCTGTGCTAGCCTGGCACATGTAGCTGCCCACACTGTGTGTGCCCTGCCACTTGCTCCAGGAGGTAAAGGCTGCCCTGGCAGTCTCCGCTGCCTGGTATCCTCCAGCCCCCTGGAGCTCAGCGTGGGGCTCCTGCCTTGACAGGCAGCCCAGCACTTCCTACTGCACCACCTCAGCAGGCTGGGGCATGCCAAACTGGTCCACTTCTGAACAGCCCATTGCCCCCTGCTCTGTGGGCTCCACACACACCACCATCCCATCCCGGCATCTCGCCCAGACACCAAGTGGTGGGATGCCCTTGGCAAGGATGGGGATGAAGGTCCCTGGTGGACAAGTCTGCACTCCACCTTGATTCCATGAGCCACCCGGAAACTTAGCTGGCAGCCAGCTCCTTAATGGAGTCATTTCCACGAGTTGGTATCTGGCATGCTTCCCTGATACCTCTAGAATCTGCCCCTTCTGCCAACAGAGGGAGACCCTGGCGCTCATCTACTCTTATTGTGCCGGGCTGCAGCCCCTCCACCACCTCCTCAAGAACCTCCTGCTGAGGTTCTGGCTGCATTTCTCCCAGCACTTTTTCTTTTATGCACTCCCCATCCATGGCCCCACCAAACCCTGGCACCTCCTGGTTAGTCTCCCCCTGGCTCTGGCCAAACTATCCTATCAGACCAGGAAGGAGCCCCTGGCTGAGGGAAGCCCAGGCAAGTGTGGGGCTGTTTTCCTTTCACTGGTCTGCTCAGGTCTCTGGACAGAGTTTTGCTGCTTGGCATCCACAGGCTCCTTGCACTCTGTTGAGGGGCAGTGGGCACTGGCCAGTGTGCTCTGTTTAGTGTCTCCCCTTGGAAACCTTGTTATGCTGTGACCATCCCTCCCATCCCTGTTCTATTTTTAGTTGTGCAAAGTAATTGGTTGCTATGCCTCCAGTGGCTTCCCTGAATAAGGAAGGATTATATAGTAGTTCTAGTAGGCCTAGACCCACATTTCCCTTGGCATAGCAAATAGGCCTGTTTCCAACAGTGACAGGAGTGGATGCTTTATAGGGAGAGCACTGAACTGGGTATACCTAGAGCAGAGGTTCTCAAACTGGTCCACGAGCTTCAGGTAGTCCACAGAAAGGTGACCTAAAGCTAAAGCTGACAGACATTACACCCAACTTCCCAGAAAATCGCTCCAAAAAACAGGCACGTCCATCACATTAGAAAGGTAAGACTACTGATATTAAAATATGAGTTGTATGCTTTGATTTGTAGAACAAAAAAAAGTTTATTAAGTGGTCTGCCGAGACCCTCAGCAATTTTCAAGTGGCCTGTGAAAAAAAAAGTTTGAGAACCACTGATCTAGAGCAAGGGTGTCAAAGATCTGGCCCATGGGGCCCTGTCATTTGGCCCACAATGCTGCCCCTGAGTCTCAAGTTGACACACATCTATACCTGACCTGCCCTGCACACAGGGCCCAGGACACAGTGCCCACTTCTGCACCCATGCTGCACACAACACCCATGCAGGGCCAGTCTGGGACCCTCTCCTCCCCCCACCCCTAGGAACCTGGATACAATGCATGTCCTGGACTGGCTGGAGCAGGCACTGCGGGGGATGATGATGCATAGACCCAGTTTGGCCCATGGGGCCAGCTCTGCACTAGTCATTTGGCCCATGGACCAGTCCCATGCCACTCCTCCATCTCATGGGGCCAGATGAGTGATACCCTTGACCTTGAGTGAACTATCCCCTGTTCATTACCTGACTTGGCATCCACTGTCATTGGTTTAGAGATGCCAGAGGATACATCTTTGACTGTTCTGTTTAATAGCTACTAATAGACCTAGCATTTATTGATTGATTTAGAATGTGCTTATGCCTCTTTGAGCTATTAGTCAAATAACGTGCCACCCTGCCCTGCCTTCTGCCTGAGTTCAGACTGCCACAGCTAACTACTTCTCACCCCTCTGAGATACTGGTCCAGGCTGTCTGCAGAATCCACCACGGTGACTCTTTTTGAGACTCCTTTTCTCATTACCCACTTGAGCTTTCCAGCCGTAAAGGCCAGGGGGCTTATTTTAATGAAAGCTTAATGTCAGGGGCCCTAACAGGCAGCCCAGCTGGGCTAAGTGCCTAGGCCTGGGCTTGGACTGGCAGCCCTAACCCCACTAATGATTCCAGCTGGCCATAGGCTGGGCCTTCTGACTGGCTGCTGGGATAGCAGCTTCCCCATTCTGCTCCAGCTGTGGCAGCAGGCTCTAGGCCAGCCGTCAGTTCCGATTAAGATCTCCTTTGGGAAGTCTCTGTTTCTGACCCTGCTTGGCTGTGTTCTTGGACTCCAGCTTGTGGATTTTCCCTTGGATCTGATAACCTGGACTCTGACCTGGCCTAAGTTTTGGAATTTGCTTCTGGGTTTCGCTTTGGATCTGGTAACTCGGCATTTGACTGCCAAAACCTGACTTAGCTCATGTTTTAGACTCTGCCCCTGGCTCCTGCTTCTTCCCCCAGTGGCCTAACTACTAGTCCAGACTGCCTGTGACCCAGTCCTTAAAGTTACCACAGAGATTCTGGAGCCCAAATTGTGCAACACTTTTTAAAAGTGAGTGACTGTGCAGCCACAATCCCTTTGTACGGGCCTCTTCTTAACACTCTCCAAATGTTTTTTGTGGTGGTGGCAGCCCTACCCACTTAACTGGCTCCATGCAGTTTGATGCATCAGTTACAATCGCTTGACATTCAACGGCTACAGCCTCCAGAGATGGTGACACCATTGCCAGGATCATCAGATGTGGTAGCAGCATGATTGTTTGCTAGGTCTGTAACAGTGTGAGGGGAAGGCACAGTCCCAGAGGGCATTACAACTGTGGGTGGCATGTACAAAAAAAAAAGAGGAGGAAGCAAACTGCTGCTTTCCTGTTTGTATGTGCTTACATTTTACTAGCAGTGATGGGGAGACTGATAGCCCTTGCACATATTCTTTTAAAGTGGATCAGCAGCAGAGCTGCCCCTGTAATACAGGTGAGGAATCTGAGATACAGTTGGAATGATGTATTCCAGGGTTGCACTGTATGTGGTTGACCTTCATGGTTTCATGTAGCCTTACCCCTGGAGCTGTGAAGAACCTCCCAAATATGCACTGAATGCATCCTGATACAGTGACATTTGTCAGTCTGCAGAGAGCCTGCAACAGTTTCTCAGAGGAAGGAACAGCTCCATTCATCTTCGGAATTAACACTGTAACCTAGTTATGCCAGCATTCACACAGTCAGTGCTAACTATTTCACTGCTGGCCATTTTAGCAGGAATAGCTAAAATGTGCATCCAAAACTGCTCTCCTGGGTGCATGCTGGAAACACCTGTCCCCTGTTCTCCAGAACCCCTGGTTTTTCTTCTGACAGTTTCTGCAAGGGAAAGTTGCATATACTCAGCACAGAATTCTGCAGTCCAATGAAAACTAAAAGCTTGAGTCACTGCCTGAAATACATTAATTCCATGTGGCTAGCAGTAAGAAAGTGGAATTTATTCTGTTTTTTTGTTGAGTTTAATAGACTCAGTTAAAAAAACATAGAAAGCTACTACATAACTCAGGGGCTTTGCTGCAGAATGTGGGTCAAGCTGGGTGAGGAATGTAAAGGGCCTGGAGAATCAAGGGCTCTAAGCACCCAGCTTTTCACTTTGCTTATTAAATCCCACTGTTTCTCTGCTATCTCCCTTCTCAGCTGCAGGAAGAATAATAGTAAACTATTCTTGATAGATTTGCATGGATAACTAGTCCAGCACTTATAGAAGCTGTTAGCAGTTAGGGAGTTTGAGCCTTGTTACAGGCCCTAACAAATGTTGATCAGTGTTAGTACTAGCTTGGATTTTGGAGCAATCACACCCTTAGTCTAGAAACCTTCTCTGACTGTCCCCCACCTTCACAACTGTGACTTGCGACTAGAGGCCTGGTGAGCAGGGGCAGGACTAGGAGCCGTAGCTGTGAGTTGCCACTAGAGGGCTGGGGAGCCAGAACAGGCTTCTGCCCCTGCTCTACAGGCAGGGATGTGAGAGGTCCAGGAATCCCCGAGGACTTCAACTTGAGCAGCACATCTGTGGGGAGTTGCCACACCTTAATGGAACAGGAGCTGGGTTGTGCAGATCAGAGAGAATCCTGTCCTGGCCGGGGTAACATTGAGCCACATAATAAGTGTTTAACACCACTTTAAGGATTCGTTATGTAGCTCGAAGTTATGCCACTCCAGTGCATGCAGGACAGCAGCTCTTGGTGAGACCACTGGTGCTCTCATGCTGGGAGTACTTGGTTTCCTCATGACAGAACAGGTGTGAATCAGCTCTTAGAATATTCTGCAGACCATGACTGTCCTGCTGGGATGAGCCAAGCCTCCAAATCAGCCCTGCTGAAATGAAGGGCAGAATTTTCCAGGGCTCTTGCAGATTACTGAAACCTAGTCAGGCTTGTGTCTCCAGGACCTGGGCTTGATTCCTGAGGGGCTCTTGTTCTTCTAGCTGTTATACATGTCTCTGTCCAGTCAGCTCTTGAAAGGCTAAAAGCTTCTGAGGTTGTGTTAGCAGAGGTTAAGGCATGTGGCACAGAAGACCGTTGGACATGGACAGTCATAAATTGCTCCTAATTTCATTTATCTCCATATAAACGACAGTGAGTTCACGCACAGTGTTCAGAATGAGTTATGCATTGGCTCTGTTACAGCTTGGAGAACACATGGGGTGTTCTGATCTTCCAGTGTAACAGTGCCCAGGTATCCAGTCCACGTACTTCCGTGACCTAGCTAAACAGAATTCACTGAACCTGATAGTGGCCTTCAGGGTAAAGCTCTCATCTTCTCATGAGCATTGAAGATTTCCAGCAAGCTCTTCAGTGAAGTCTATTCTGGCCCTGGCCCTGTTCACAAAAAAATTAAATAAAATAAAGCCCAGTACCAAGTGTCGAGTGAGACAGAGAGAGACAGGGTGGAAGGATTTACTTTCTCAATCATTGCTCTCGGCCACCCTCTTTGGTGAGGTTGTGTTTATCAGCTGTCAGACTTGTGTTAGCAGTTTACTGGGGCAGGGGTCTTAAAACATGTTTTATAAAGTGGTTTGCATAACTTGTTGTGCAAACAAGTTGTAGTAGCAAGAAGGCAGGAGAGGCAGGGGATTGCCTGGTGTGCCATTGGTTGCGAGACCCTCCCATCTTCTGGTGGGTGGCAGGCTGTGCTACAGATTCTGCCACCTGCCATCCCCAAGGGTGTCTGTGAAGATGCTATATACAGTGACTGAAGTCCTTTGGAGTGAAAGGTGGTAGTCAGGGGTATTTGTGCATCCAGATGTTTGGACATCCCTCATCACCAGAGTGTTGGAGCACTTCTCATGAGTTAAAAAGTGACAGTGGGAACAGAGGCTCCCTGTTCCCTGGCAGCTGGAAACAGCAGTTGTCCAAGGAGAGAGCAGTAAATGGCAGGGAAGGTGGATAGTGGCTTGAGCCTTAGCTGAAGCAGGGGTGGGGGTCAGATCTAGTGGAGCTTGGGAAATGAAGGAAAGAATCAGTGCCCCAACATAAGGGAAATAATCTAGCAGCAAGGAAAGTACTAGGCCATGTCCTAATCCCTGTCTTTCTGCTTTCTGTAGAGGGAGGAGAAACAGCTTGAAGTGACCCTTGAAGCACTTATCAGCCAGGTGGCTGACTTGAAGAATTCCTTGATCAGCTTCATCTATAAGCTAGAGAATGAGTATGACCGGCTCACCTGGTAAGGGTCTGTGCCCCTATTGGGGTGGGGAGTCCTTGCTGCTCTATTCTGTTATGTACGCTGTTCCCAAACTGTTTCATGGGCCACTTTTTGGGGTTGCAGAGACCTGGCAGATCACACAGCCCTTATTTCCAAATGTTAAATCACACTGAAGAAACCAAAAAAAAAATTGTTAATGTTACTTTTTTGTCTTGGTGCCTGCTGAGGTTGCCATATGGAGATCATATGATTATGAATGGAGAGAGGTGTTCACAACCTTCTCTGGAGAAACATAGGCATTAGATTCAGCAGTTGACCTTCTGAACAAAATGGCAGTCCCAAGACATCAACAGAAGTAGACGCTTCTTCATACCAGGCAGGACAGATTTGCTCTCTGATCCAAGGTGGCTTATCCAGCCACAGTTGATTGTTCTGCAGTGTTGCTTTAAGCTAGCAACCAAAGAGGCAGCTAAAAACAACAGCAGCTGAAAAGACAGCAGCAAGATTGTGACTAGTAGTCATCTCTAGATCCAGAGGCTGCACTCTGCTGTTCTCTTGTTATGTGTTTGTTGTCTTTTGCCTTAAAGGAAGTGGCACTTTCCTCCAAAAGGACACTTATTAAGTTTATTTTTTTAAAGAAAAAACTAACATACAGGATGTTTTCCCTGTGAAAACAACTAAGAGAAAATGAATGAAGAGCTCTGTTAAAAAAGAAAGCCTTACTCCATCTTTTTATATCTCTTTTCCCTTGAAAATGTAATTAAAAATTACCTACTTTTAATGGTGACTGTTACCATGGGACTAAGCAGGTCTTGGACCTTGCTCTCAGAACTCCAAGCCACATCTGTTTGCTTCAGCATTATACAGTCATAGGGTCCTGTCAACACCATTTTCTCTTCAGGGCCTACTTATTTCATTGGTTGGGTATACCATGAGTGAAATCTATATGGACAAAGTATCTGGAAGGCCAGTACATGCCTTAAGTTAGAAGCTGTTCGTTTTTTGTTCCTGGCCTTTGATTGCTACGTTACCCCTGCCACTAGTACAGTGTTTGCCAAGATGTGGTGAGGTAGAGCATGGAGGGGCACTCACCTTCTGAACATGCATAAGGGCAAGGTGGTCAACCTGCTCATCAAGATATGCACTCTCCACTTAACATCAGCTGCTAGCACCAATATCAAATGCTGCTAATGTTTATACCTTGCATTGTAGGTGACTTGCAGCATTGTCAGAATGTTCCTAGTGAATCCTCCAAGGAGTGCAAGCTAAAGGGGGCTTTGCTGATGGGATTTATCAAGCAAGCCTGCAGCCTGAAACATGGTCTGTTTCAAAGGAATTATAGGATCATAGGAAAGTAGGGCTGGAAGGGACCTTGCAAGGTCGCATCTATTCCAGCCCCTTGCTCAAGGTAGGATCACCCCTGATTAAATTATCCCAGCCAAGTAAGTCTAACCTGCTCTTGAAAATTTCCAGGTATGGCGATTCCACAGCTTCTCCAGACAACCTGTTCCAATGCTTGACTATCCGTGGAGTCACAACATTCCTCCCCATCTCCAGCCTACATTTTCCCTGCCGTAGCTTGAGGCCATTGCTCCTAGTCCTGTCCCCTACAGCCACAGAGAAAAGCCCATCTCTATCTTCTCTGTAACCACTCTTCAGGTATTTGAAGACTGTCCTCAGATCCTCCCTCAGCATTTTCTTCTCCAGTTTAAAAGGACCATGGCTCTTTCAGCCTCTCCTCACAAGTTCTGCTTCCCAGGCCCCTAATTTTTGCCACTCTGTGCTGGACTCTTTCGAAACTGTCCACATCCGTCTTGATGTGGGGGCCCAAAACTGAGCACAGTGCTCTAGGGGAGGCCTCACCAGTGTTGAACAGTGCAAAAGAATTGCTTCTTTTGACTTACAAATGACATTCCTATTGGTGCAATCCAGGATGCTGTTGGCTTTTTTTGCAACAAGAGCATACTGTTGGCTCATATTCCACTTCTAGTCCACTGTAACCCCCAGGTCCTCTGCCCAGGACCAAAAGAGATCTTCTAAGCCATTGGGTTCAGCCCCCTGTGATCACAGGCATCCCTACAATACACCTTTGACTAGAAGGGTCTGTGAGGGGTCTTACTGTCAGTAGCCAAGCTACAACTTGTTCTTTTCTCTGCTTGTTAGAAACCCATGTCTTGGCTGCTACCCTACAGGTTGTGTTGGGGGAGTGACAGTGATGAGGAAAACATCTGATCTGTGTGTAACTTGCAGCACCCAGGCACTCTTCCTTCTCTCCCCTTCCAGTAGAACTGAGAAGAGCCCTGCACCATGCTCCCCTGGCTTTGTACAGAGGGTAGGGTTGGTTTCACACTCATGCATTAGTGATTGGCCTGAGCTTTCTGCTTTTGGATTAGGATTTCCAGAATACCAGTGCCCACCTCTCCCCTGAAACAGAGGGGTTGTGAGTCTCTTAGAGCCAAGTAGATGATGACCTGACCGAGCTCTAGGAATGTGCTGCACCTGTCTCCCATGTCCCTTTCCAGGTCTACCCTCCCTTTTGCCTTTCCAGGCCCTCAGTACTAGACAGCTTCGCGCTGCTCTCAGGACAGCTGAACACACTGAACAAAGTGTTGAAGCATGAGAAGACTCCGCTGCTGCGTAACCAGGTCATCATCCCCCTGGTGCTGTCTCCAGACCGGGATGAGGAAATCATGGTGAGAACCTGGCAGCTCTGCTCCCTACTAAGTGTTGTCCAAGATGTGCACTCCCCGCACCTCTCTGTGCCTAGCCTTTCCCCTACTCTCGGAGCATGGGGAGATGTGTGAGCAGTCCTTGGGGAGGGAGGGATGCGTCGTCCCAGTGCTGTTTTGTCAGCACCACTTCCCCCACAAGCATTCATCTGGGCGCATTGTATATTTGTTCCAGGCTGCAAAAATGCAGTGGCCATGAAGCTGAGGCCTGCAGAGAAACAGTCTCCCCTTGGGTACACATAGACCTCCTCACTACTTACCCAGGGGCTCTGGGTCAGTTGAGCTCATTCCAGCAAGAGTCAACACTTTGGATCATGTCCTGTCCCTCCCCTTCCCCCACCAACAAGGAAATGCATTCCAGAGCCTGGACCCCTCCCCTCCCTCCTGCTCCCACTGTGAGCAGCCAGCCCCAGCCCAAAGGAACTGTTAATTCAGGCCTGTCTGTTGAGGTTGCCATCCTGACAGGCAGCTCTCAGAATGCTTGGTAATGCAGTGGTGGGTGCAGCCTGAAAGCCAGATAGGTCTCAGTGCCCCAACGGCACAGAGCTTTGTGGATGCCAGTTGCCAGTATGGCTCTGGCTCCTGTTCTGGCTGTGCAACAGCATTGGACCCTGAGTGTGGCCTGTCCCATTGTTTCAGCGACAGACAGAAGGGCGTGTGCCAGTCTTCAGTCATGAGGTGGTGCCTGACCATCTGCGGACCAAGCCTGACCCAGAAGTGGAGGAGCAGGAGAAGCAGCTGATCACAGATGCAGCCCGAATCAGTCCTGATGTGGCACAGGTAGGCAGAAAACAACTAGATGCTGCCCCAGCTTCTGTCCTGAGCACAGGACTCAGACCAGCCATAGGTCACCAGGTTCCCTTTTCTCTGTCTGGCACCTGAATTGCTGCAGCCCTTGTTCTTCCCTACTCCAGTCAGTCTTTCCTTCTGCCTGTGTCCTTCCTTTCCCTTTTTGTGATTTCTCCAGCTGACCCAGATTCTCCAACCTCCTTCCAATGCAGTAACACCCTAACCACCTCCTGCTTTGAAAGATCAATGATTGCCTTGCCTCATACAGCATCCCCTGCTTTGTGCCTTGGAAGCATGTTCCCTGGACTCCACCACTGAAGCACTTGTATTCATTCAGGCAGGAGCTGGGATAGGGTTTGTTCGTGAATCTTGCTGACTGGTATTGGGTTAGAGATGTTCTTCCATCTTCTGGTTGCTTTCACTTTGCAGAAACAGATCCAGAGCCTGAACAAAATGTGTTCGAATCTGCTGGAGAAAATCAGCAAGGAGGAACGGGAGTCTGAAAGTGGAGGTATGGGTACCAGGCAAAGGCAAGTGCAGAGTCCGCAGGGCCAGTGTGGGAGGTACGACCCTGGTATTGCACAGTCCCTGGAGCCAGAAGGGAGCAGAAGTATAGAAAGGAAGAGGAGGGAAGGGTCAACAGGCATCTGGGCTTGTGACTGCTTTGTTTGGAAAGAAGAAGGTGGTGGGAGTATCATAGTAGCTAGGGTCAGGAGGGACCTGAACAGATCCCCTAGCCTGCCCCCTGCCACAGGCAGGAATGGATGCTGGGTTCACAAGACCCCAGACAGGTGATCATCCAACCTCCTCTTGAATTTAACCAAGGTAGGGGCGAGGACCACTTCCCTGGGAAGTTGGTTCCAGATTTTGGCCGCCCTAACTGTAAAATATTGCCTTCCGATCTCTAACCTAAACCTATTCTGCATCAGCTTATGACCATTGTTCCTTGTCACCCCAGGTGGTGCTGGGGAGAAAAGGGCTCTGCCTATTTGCTGTTGATCTCCCCTGATGAGTTTGTAGGCAGCCACCAGGTCCCCCTCAGCCTCCTCTTGCTGAGGCTGAACAGGTTCAGGTCCCTCAGTCTCTCCTCGTAGGGCCTGTCTTGCTGCCCTCTCACCAAGCGGGTGGCCCTCCTCTGAACCCTCTCCAGGCTGGCCACATCCCTTTTGAAGTGCGTGAAAGGTTTCCTTTGTGCCTGGCCAGGTTTTCTCTACTTCATGGAAACCAAATTGATGAATACTGACCCTGCCAGAAGTGTCATTCTGGCCTCTACTGTGAGGTTGCTTTAGATGCCTATGGGAGATGGGACACTTATTTACTTGCATTTGCAAGCGAAGCACTCTAATTCACATAAATGAATCAGTAGTGCTGTGCAAAGGTAGGAGAGCATGGAAACCTCTTTAGCCAGACTTGAGTGAGTCCAGAATATACCAGGTGGCAGCTCCCATTTGGTATTTAATTCATGTCCTGTGTATAATGGTCTTTCTGGACCTACTGTCAGCCTGTCCTGTCACCTTGCATTCTGCCCTTATCCTGTGCACCCAGCTATGCTCCCACAATGGTCAGAGGTGTTATTGCTTTGTGCATTGTTGACATTGTGCATGGTGCTGGCCAGGACTGAAGTCAGATGCTCTCTGTAAGTGGGAGGAGGAGGGTGGTGGCTGGGCCGATGCATGCAGAGGGTGTTTGTGTGCAGCAGTAAGAAGGTGGCTTAGGTAGAGACCTCAGGGGAAACCGAGTCCAAGCCTGGTAGCCCAACTGTCATGGCTACTTCACTTTGCTCTCTTCTCAAAGAGGAGAGGAGGGGAGGGGGATCGCTACTGCTGGTCCATCCTTCCTTTCTTTTCTGTCCTAGCATTAGTACGGGTTCATAGTTGCAGGCACAAGCTCCTCTCCTACTTGAGGGTGCCTCTTGAGAAGCATCTGTAGGCTTGTTGAAATGCTCCAGAAGTCTCTTCTTTCCCTGCAGGTTTACGGCAAAACAAGCAAACCTTCAACCCTACTGACACCAATGCCTTGGTAGCAGCAGTGGCATTTGGAAAAGGCCTATCCAATCGGAGGCCTCCAGGCTCAGGGGGGCCTGTCCAGTCAGGTCAGCCAGGCACTGGTCCCATCATAGCAGGGGCTTCTGGCATGCAGCAGGTCCAGATATCAGGTGCATCAACCCCAGAGCAGCCAATGCTTGCAGGAGTGCAGATGTCACAAGCAAGCCAGCCAGGTAAATAAGCAGAACACCACAGTGTGCCTGAAATGCAGATGGGAAGAAAGAGCAGAACACAGGAGTGGGGAAGATCCAAAGAGAGCCTTAGGGCATAGATCCTAACCCAGGCCCCACACCTGGGGAGAAGTGGCTTTGAGGGCCAGGTGGGAGAGAGGAAGGTGTTTTAGGGCAGTGAGAGCAGAGGATCCATGGCATGGATCTGAGGCAAGCTGCATTCCAGGGAGACCATGGTATTAAAATCCAGATGCTGAAGAGCTGTTGCATATTTGTGGGCATTAAGGCCAGAAGGGACTGCTGTAATTATCTAGGCTAACTTGACGTGTAGAGCACAGGCCAAAGCCCTGCCCAGTATGTCTTGCAATCTGCCTAACATCTGCTTTTGCTCGACCACAAGCTCTTCTAGAAATGCCCAGTCTGGGGACTCTGTGCCAGATGAGCCGACGGGGGTGTCCCTCATGAATCAGTTGCATCAGTTCATCACTGTTATGGTTAAAAATGTATAACTAATTTCCATTTGCTGCTGTCTCTAAAAACCTTTAACAGAAGAGTCCAGTTGTCTTAGCTCTGACAGTCATGCAAGTTTAAACTTATCTAAGAAATCCTATGCATGGAGCAGCAATCAGGATTAGTGTTTGGAGTGGCGGGTATCTCAGAAAAGGGGCAGCGTAGCCGAGTAGCCTGTGGTAACTTAGGGTTCCTATACAGCCCCAGCAGAGGGGGTATAGGAACCCCATATACCCCTTGGAGAAGTATAAAACAGAGGTGCTCAACCTCTGGCCTGCTAGACTGCGTAATCTCTCCAGAATTGTTGCAGCAGGGGAAGTGGTGGCAGCATTAATTGCTGCAGCTTCCATGCAGCTTCTTGGTTGTGAAGAAAACCTTTCAACTCTATCACAGTTGTAACTGATGAAGTGAGGCCTGCCTGAGTTTGCAGACAAAGCTGAAATAACAGCTCTGAGAGGCTAGTACTGGCTTGTGTGTTTCCTTGGGGGTGTTTATGGTGAAGCTTAGCAGTGACCATGTAAACTTCAGCATTGTTAGCTGTTTCGCTGTTGATCATTTGAGCAGAACCCTCTGGCTCAAGTGTTCGCCGAGAGCCCCACTCTTCTTTCCCAGGTGCTGAAAGCCCAGTGCCAGGGCCTACAGCTTCCACATCCAATTTCTGTCATGCACTTATTCTGTCATGCTTCCACTGAAATCGTGCAATCCTTCAAGCACCAAATGTGGGGCAGCCAGAATCCACTGAATGAGACACCACGTGGAAAACAATGATCATGCTGTTCATTTTGCTGTTTTCTTCACTAAGAATCTCATTTCCAAAATTATTCTGAAGCTGTCATAGAATCCAGGGGTAGCCAGTGGGACATTGGAGGGGGTGTCATGTTGGCTGAGATTGGCCTGAAAGGCGGTTTCATGATAATATAGGCATTCAAGTGGAAAATGCATTTGAGCAGTAGCCTCAACCCTAAGTTAACAATGTTTTTGTGCAGGGATTAGACAGGAATTTGCAGTGTGCCATGGCAGCAAGAAGCCCATGTGATTTTTGACTGCATCCCCTGAGGCGTTGCCTTCCAGAGCAAGAGGATGAAAAGGAAAAGAACAACAGTAATATTATAATGGGGGTCTACTATAGACTAACAAGTCAAGAGGAAGAGGCGGATGAGGCACTTGGAGAGATAACAAACACATCCAAACATTATGAGATGGTACTAATGGGGGAGTTTAACTTCCCTGATATCTGTTGGAAGAATAGTACAGCAAAACATAATGTCTAGGAGGTTCATAGAATCATAGAAGTAGGGTTGGAAGGGACCTTGTAGATCTTCAAGTCCGACCCTCTGCCTGGGCAGGAGGAAAACAGGGCTCAATTGACCCCAGCCAGGTAGGCATCAAGTCTCTTCTTAAAGACCCCCAGGGTAGGAGCCATCACCACTTCCCTTGGAAGTTGGTTCCAGATCGTAGCCGCCCTGACTGTGAAGTAGTTCTTACGGATGTCTAATCTGAACCTACTCTCCAACAACTTGTGGCCATTATTCCTTGTTATCCCGGGGGGCGCTAGGGGAAACAAGGTCTCCCCAAACCCTTCTGGTCCCCCCCCTAGTGAGTTTATAGACAGTCACCAGGTCCCCCCTCAGCCTTCTCTTGTGAAAGCTGAACAGGTTCAGGTCCTGTAGCCTCTCATTGTAGGGTCTGCCCTGCTGTCCCCGGATCATGCGGGTGGCCTCCTCTGGACCCTCTCAATGTTGTCCACATCCCTCTTGAAGTGGGGTGCCCAGAACCGGACACAGTACTCCAGCTGTGGCCTGACCAGTGTCACGTAGAGGGGGAGGATCACCTCCTTGGCCCTACTTGAGAGGCACCTGTGGATGTACGATAGGGTCTGGTTAGCCCTGCCGACCATGACCTCGCATTGTCGGCTCATGTTCATCTTGGAGTCAATGATGACTCCAAGATCCATTTCTGCCTCCGTGCTCTCAAGAAGGGAGTTTCCCATCTTATAAGTGTGCTGCCGGTTGCTACTGCTCAAGTGCAGCACCTTGCACTTGTCCGTATTGAAACGCATCCTGTTTTTGTTAGCCCACCCTTGCAACCTATCCAGGTCTTTCTGCAGTCTTTCCCTCCCTACTAGCGTGCCCACCTCACCCCAAATTTTGGTATCATCAGCAAATTTGAACAGGTTGCTTTTCACCCCGTCATCCAAATCGCTGATAAAGAAATTGAACAGTTTGCTGAAGTCCAGAAAGACTACATCCACGGCGACACCTGCATCCAATGCTTTTGTGACCTGATCGTAAAAGGCAATCAGGTTGGTCTGACATGACCTGTCCCTAATGAAACCGTGCTGGTTGCCCTTGAGCATCATCCGCGATGCCGGCCCATCACAGATGTGCTCCTTGATGATCTTCGCAAAGAGTTTCCCCAGGATTGAGGTACAACTGACGGGTCTATAGTTGCCCGGGTCCTCCCTCCTCCCTTTTTTAAAGATGGGGATCCCATTGGCTATCTTCCAGTCATTTGGCACCTGGCCCAAGCACCACGAGCGCTCATAAAGCCTTGCCAAGGGCCCTGCAATAACCCCTGCTAGCTCCCTCAACACCCTGGGCTGGAGAGCATCTGGACCTGCTGATTTGAACATGTCCAGCCCCTCCAGAAGCACTCTAACCCAGTCCTCCTCAACCTTAGGTCTTGAGGTGTTCCCCTCGAGTCTGTCTTGAATCATGGTGGGGGAGTCCCGGTCCCTGCACAAGAAAACGGAGGTGAAGAATTTGTTAAAGAGGTCTGCCTTCTCCTCTGGCGCAACCACCAGATTGGCCAACATGTCTTGCAGGGACCCCACATTTCCCGGTGCCTTCTTCATCCTCCCTATATATTTGAAAAAGGACTTTTTATTATCTTTGATCTTGGACGCTAGTCCTAGCTCTATGTCCGCCTTGGCTTTCCTAACAGCCCCCCTACAGGTCCAAGCAGGTTCTTAATGAACAGAGCACAACTATCTTGGTTCTTACTCTGACCAACAAGGAAGAATTGATTGAGAACATGAAGTTGTTTGGAAACTTGGGAGAAAGTCATTGTGGTATGATAGAATTCATCACTCTGAGAAAGAGGAAGTCTAAGATTAGTTGAACGAAAATACTGGACTTCAAAAAGGCAGATTTCAACCAATTAAGAGAAACAGCAGGGAAAGGTCTGTGGGCAGGTTAAAGAATAAAGGGCCCAGGAGGACGGCAGCTTCTAAAGGGGCATAGCATTGAAACCTCAACAAGAAACTACTTCAGCATGGCAGACATCAGAGGAGACTGATGTGATATGCAGGGAACTCCTTAGATCCTGCAAAATTAGAAGGAAAACATACAGGCAGTAGAAGGAAAGATACGCCACTAAGACATAGCAAAAACTTGCAGGGACAAAATCAGGAAAACAAACATAAAAGATAAGTTACACCTGGAGGGGGAACTTAAAAGACAACAAGAAGGGGATTTATATATATAGTGGTCTGAAAAAATAAGGTCCGTTGTTTAATAGCCAGGGTAAGCTATTAACAGGAGATGCAAAAAAAGGCAGAGCTACTCATTGGCTGCTTTGCCTCAGTCTTCCCAAAAAATAAGCTGCAACCTGATGGCTAGTAAAAATAATATAGACAAAAGAGGAGAAAGGCTGAGGTCATGGTAACTGAAGAGAGTGTCAGAGATCTTTTGAGTAACAGAATAAATTTAAGTCACCAGGCCCTAATGAAATTTATCCCATGATGCTGAAGGAACAAGTTGAAAGGATCTAGGAGCCATTGGCAATAACATTTACAAATTGAGGGAGGCAGACAAGGTTCCAGAGAACTGGAAAAGGGCTAACCTAGTGCCCGTAAAAAATGTAGGGGAGACACCTGGGGCATTATAGACCAGTCGGCCGAACCTCAGTACTCATACAGATATTGGGCTCAATTTGTAAACATCTGGAGGAGGAAAGATTGATCACTAGCAATCATCATGGACTCATTAAGAACAAAAAATGCCAAACTAATTTGATCTACTTTGACGAAGTAACCAGTTGGGTGGGTGAAGGGAATGCGGTGGGCATAATGTACTTGGACTTCAATGAGGCTTTTGTTAAAGTTCTGCATGACCTTACAAATGAATTTTACATGGCTAGATAAAATTCCTGTAAGGTGGATACATATTGGCTCAGTAACCACATGCAAAGGGTAATTATAAATGGATCTGTGTCAGAATGGAGGAGGATTCAAGTGGGGTTTCACAGGGGGGCTGGCGTAGGTCTGGTGGTTTTTAACATTTATGAATGATTTGGATACCCAAATAGAGTCTCCTGATCAAGTTTGCAGATCATGCAAAATTGGGAAGGACTGTGAACACATAGCAGGATGGGAGTAGAATTAGAATCATCCGGATGGTTTGAGAAGCTGGACTAGAGACAACCAGATGATGAAGTTCAATGCAGAGAAATGTGATGCACTGTGTCCAGAGAAGTATGACCAGAAGCACAAAGACAAGGGGAGTTAACTGCTGGGCAACAGCATTGCTGAGGAGGATCTTGGGGTTTGTGTAGATTCATAGATTCATAGATGTTAGGGTCGGAAGGGACCTCAATAGATCATCATTTCCCCATAGGCAGGAAAGAGGGCTGGGGCTAGATGACCCCAGCTAGATGCCTATCCAACCTCCTCTTGAAGACCCCCAGGGTAGGGGAGAGCACCACCTCCCTTGGGAGCCCCTTCCAGACCTTGGCCACTCGAACTGTGAAGAAGTTCTTCCCAATGTCCAGTCTAAATCTGCTCTCTGCTAGCTTGTGGCCATTATTTCTTGTAACCCCCGAGGGCGCCTTGGTGAATTTCCCTGCCAGGAAATTGAGTCCAGCTGTCACGCTGCCCTAGCCCTGCTACATGTCTGGGGGCAATGGGACCAGCCATACATCCAACAGCCTGGGCTGCTCCCAAGCCTGGAGACTTGGACTGGGACCCAGAAGTCAGGCCCAGCACAGAGGGCCTAGGCTAAGGGACTGGGCCCCAACAAGGATATAAAGGCCTGAGGTGGCCTGGTAGCAGATTGGGACCCAGTGCCCAGCAAAGTTTTTAATTAGTAATATCTGCGAGGCATGGACATGGTTGTAGGGGAGGTCGGAGGCTGTGATAAGCCTTTAAGGCTACAAGTTTTTTGGTTTGTTTGTTTTGGGTTTTTTTAAGGAAAATTTTCCATGTTCTGAGCCACATCAAATCAATTCCAAATCCGGGAGTCATTCAAGAACCATATGTGGCCCTACTACTGTCAAACATCCTCCACCCTCACCTGGGGTTTCAGATGCTTCCAAATCATTTGGCAAGCATCCTACATGCAGGCCCAAGCCAAGAGGCTTGGGGTTTGGATGCCCCTGAGTTTCACTTACCCTTAGCCATATGGCCGCAGGAGCAAGCTAGGGAGGAGTCTCCTATTTCCATAAAGTGGGTGTAAAGCTAAGATCTTCCCACTGGAAATGAAAGTGGGAGGTTAACTATACATTACCTCCACGGATACTACCTTGTGCCAGAAAAGTGGCTATCCGCAGCACCTAGGAAAACCGCCTTAGTGGTCACGGTATTTCCCCTGCCCCTGCCAGACTGAGCTGGCATCTAGAGGACTTGGGGCTTGCTCTAGGACCCATTAGGCAACATCCCTTCCAATCAAACAGTTACAACAAGGCGTGGTGAGTGAGTGAGATGGGGAGGGCACCCAAGAGCTGGAGTAGGGCATGGGTTGTGTGGCTTCCAGGGGCAGGCTGGCTACCCCTGGAGCCTGAACCTGGCAGTTTTCTAAATCTGAAAGGCTGTTGTAAAGAAGGGAGAGAACATCTGTTTTCCCTTGCCACCTGAGGCAGGACACCACTCAGTGAATCCAGCCTGAATCCAGCCAGGGAGATTTAGCTCAGGTAAAGCTAAGCATCCTTGCTGTTAGAGCAGAATGGCTGTGGAGCAGACTGCCCAGGGCAGCAGTGGAATCCCCTTCCCTGCAAGTTTTCAAGAGGAAGCAGGGTAAGCACTGGACAGGGATGGCTGAGGAGCAGCATTCCTGTATTGGCACAGGGGGTTGGACAAGACAACCCACAGCCCTTTCAGCCCTGGGATTCTGTGCTGTGCTTGTGCACTGTCAGCTGGAGTCCTTGCCCAGTCCTGGGTCGCTGAGAAGGAATTGGTGTCTGAGATGGAATGAAGGAACAGCAGCAGTTACCAGGGGTGGGAGGGGCTGCAGTGCCCTGGTGTCGGTGTGCCTGAATGACTGCTCTGGGATCTCTTGCACAGATGCATTCTCTTGCAAGTGACTTTGCCCTGCTCCTTTTGTATGCAGGGAAGATGCCCAGTGGTATAAAAACCAACATCAAATCTGCCTCGATGCATCCGTATCAGAGATGAGCAAGAAGAACCACAGACCTGACTGATCATGAGTCGCCAGTGCTGTTCCTGGCCCCTGCCACCACTCCTGGGATTCCTCTGTGCCTCTGGAGTCCCTTGAAGCCTGCATACACCGTCTGCGAGAGGGAGATACGGGGTGGAACCTTCCCTTCCCCCTCACCACCCCCCTGTGAGCTCTGGGCTGCACAGCTCCTCTCCGTGTGGTTGTGCTGCGTTCTGAACCGGTTGTGCAGAGGTGCTGGCAGCTGCATGCTCAGGGATGGGTGGGACCTCCCCTGCCAGGCCAGAGCCTCTGGCTGGCTGCTGGGACCAAATCCTGTCACCATTTTGGTCTGCATTCCAGAGGCTCCTACCGTTTCTTGGTGCAGATACAAAAATACCTTGTAGGTTTGGCTGGGCGTGTTGCTCTTCACTGCCTCCCCCCCACCATGCTGCTTGAATAAAGGCTGTATGCTGTATCAAGTTTGACCACTGCTCTCTATCAGATCAAGGGAGCCCTGCACTTTGCCTTGTTTCCGTTTGGGAATGGCTGTAGAACAGCTCCCATCAGGGCCCCAGAAGGGCCACTTATAAAGTGTCTCCCTCTGCCGGATGCTGAGCCCAGGGATTGCCGCTGGGTTTGTGCATGGCTCAGCAGAGAACTGGAGCTCAATCATGTTGCCAACCAGAAGTGGCTGCCTTGTTTGTCTTTTACAGCTTACTGTGGTCATAGCCCAGGCAGCCCGGGTCCCCTTTGGGATTCTGTGCAGCAAGGGCCACAGTGGGGATCTGGTGCTGCTGGGTTGGAAACCAGCTGCTCTCTTGTCCCAGTCTTGGACCTTGTTCTCCAGGTAGTTCTCTGCTTCCCTGTCCTTGGAGGAGTGCTGATCTAACTCGGAATTAAACTCCTTCTGCGGGAGGGCATTTTCCTCTTCTACATGCTCTGTTCCCTGTGTGGGCCAAGCTGCAGCAGAGCCCCTTTTTTCTGGGACTGGGCAGAAGGGGATGCTTCTATCTGACAGCCTCTAAACTTGAGCTGCAGGTTGTAGTCTGGCTGATAAAGGACCTCTCCAAGATGGAGAGCATGGGCACATGTCCATAAAGCAGGTCTGTGCGTGCAGAGGGCACTGAGGATTGGCACTCAGCACTTGCTCTCCGGACCTGTTACAGTGGTGTGGCGAAGGGCAGTGTGATGTTACGTGCTCGGTGGCATCTGTCCAGAATGCTGAGTGCGTGGGAATCTGTTCAGCTGGCATGGCCTGCTGCTGCTCCTCTCCTGCCAGCTCTGAGCTAAGCAGAACCAGTGTATTCATAGAGGTTGCAGCCTTGAGGCCCTGGTCTAACCCCTCAGCCTCAGCACTGCTTGTTTGGTGAGCACGCCCTGCAAACAGGAGCTGTGCCACACCTCTGCCATGTCAGGACAGTCAGGCTGACCTGACTCTTGTGGCCTCCAGGCTTGACAGGGCACTTCTTGTTCCCTTGGGGCCTGTAGGGTTGCTGATGCAGGGATTGGGGAGCTCATGAAAGCAGTGGAGCTGTGCTGGTGGCGCCTTAGAAGGGCTGAGTGCTGCTCAGCTTGTTCTGCTCTTGCCTGTAGCAGCCTCCGCAGCGTCCCCACTTTGGCTGGGAGCGTGGAAAGGGAAATGTTCAGTAAACACTTTGTGAACCCCCGCGGCTCAATAAAGAACGGTTGGAAGAGCCGGGATTATTGCATATGGAGAAGGGAAGATTGAGGATGGATTTGATAATAGTCTTCATATACAAAAGTGGTTGTTATAAAGGGAATGGCAACCACCTACTCTGTCCGGAGGGGACAAAGCAAGAAGTTATAGACTGAAATTTTACAAAGAGATTGAAGTCATAGATTAGGAAGAGCTTTTTAGCCAGAAGGTTGGTTCAGCTCAGGGTGGGGGTGGGGGGGTGCGTGTGTGTGTGTGTGTGTGTGTGTGTGTGTGTGTGTGTGGAGGGGGGTGGAATCTCTGCCTAGTCTAGACTAGACTTAAAGATGCCAAAACATTTGGCTGGAATAGGTGGTCTCCTGAGGCTTGGCCTGTCTGTGGAGCTGAGATTCCTATACTGCCCCGCTGCATGTGCAGAGCTTTTTAGGGAAAGCAGCAGCTTCAAGGTGTCTATAAGGGTGCGGTTTGTAGGCCCTCACTCAGACCTGCCACCTTGCTTTAGTTCAGCCTAGCCATCTGGCCTTGCTGCAGAGCTGGCCTCCATGTGCTGCCAAGGGCCACAGGCCTCTGTTGAGAGGAAAGGCTGAATGCCACCTTGCCCATCCTCCCCCCTTGTGCACACATTCTTCTTGTCCCTTCTGCCCTGCTTGCTTGACAGAGCCAGCCCGTGTTCAGTGAATTAACTCCTTGTTCTGTTTCAAAGCCAAGTAGCACTGCAGGCAGCTGTGCTGATGGGCTGAGGCATGCTAGGACACACACTGCTAAAGCTGCAGTGCTTTGGATCCCAGCTCTAGGCTTGTCCTCCCTGGGTGCTTGCCAGCTGGTGAATCCTGGCAGTGCTGTGCCTGGGTTTGGCTGTCTGTCCTAGGGCTGCCCTGCAAAGGGACCTAGCAGTAGCAGGCTGAGCTCTGGACCTCCTGCCACTGCAGCTGATGCAGGAATGTGCAGAGTGGGCCCAGCCAGACCTTTTGCACAGTTGGAAAGCAGGGCCAGGCAAAAGGGCTGCTTTTTTCATTGATTGCGAAGCCAGAAGGGATCTTTTTGATCATGCAGCCTGACCTGCCCAGAACAGGCTGCAGAGCTGCCCTGGATTTCTTCCTGTTGGAGCTCAAGCCTCTCTAGCTACCAAGGAAAATGTGCAATTTTCATTTAAAATTTTTCATTTAAAAGTGGTTACAAAGGTTCTTCATCCTATTAAAAATTTTCACATTCCTTTGAGTTTGAATTTGTCTTGCCTCCACTTCCAGCTGTCGGATCTTTTTACACCTTTGGTGGAGTAAAGCAGCCTCTCTCAAATGTCTGTTCCCTATGGAGTTTCATAGTTTCATAGTTTTAGGGTCGGAAGGGACCTAATAGATCTTCTAGCCCGCCCCCCCGCCAGGGCGGGAGAACAACAAAAGAGCCCTAAACAAAAAACGGGACTCAAATGAGTCCAGCCAGGTAGGTATCCAGCCTCTTCTTAAAGATCCCCAGGGTAGGGGCCAGCACCACCTCCCTTGGAAGTTGGTTCCAGCTCCTAGCCGCCCTAACTGTGAAGTAGTTTTTTCGGATGTCCAATCTGTACCTCCTCTCCATCAACTTGTGCCCATTACTCCTTGTTATGCCAGCGGGGGCTAGGGGAAACAGCGTCTCCCCCAAACCCTTCTGGTTCCCCCTAGTGAGTTTATAGACGGTCACCAGGTCCCCCCTCAGCCTTCTCTTGTGGAGGCTGAATAGGTTCAGGTCCCGCAGTCTCTCACTGTAGGGTCTGCCCTGTTGTCCCCGGATCATGCGGGTGGCCCTCCTCTGGACCCTCTCCATGTTGTCCACATCCCTCCTGAAATGGGGCGCACAGAACTGGACACAATACTCCAGCTGTGGCCTGACCAGCGTCGCATAGAGGGGGAGGATCACCTCCCTGGCTCTACTTGAGATGCACCTGTGGATGCACGACAAGGTCCGGTTAGCCCTGCCAACCATGACCTCGCATTGTCGGCCCATGTTCATCTTGGAGTCAATAATGACACCAAGATCCCTTTCCGCCTCCGTGCTCTCAAGTAGGGAGTTCCCCATCGTATAAGTGTGCTGCTGGTTCCTACTACCCAAGTGCAGCACCCTGCACTTGTCCGTATTGAAACACATCCTGTTCCTGTTTGCCCACCCCTGTAACCTATCCAGATCCTTCTGCAATCTCTCTCTCCCTGCTAGCGTGCTCACCTCCCCCCAAATTTTGGTGTCATCAGCGAATTTAAACAGGTTGCTTTCCACCCCAACATCAAGATCGCTGATGAAGAAATTGAACAGCGCAGGCCCCAGGACCGAGCCCTGGGGGACTCCACTACCCACCTCCCCCCAAGTCGAGTATGATCCATCCACCACCACCCTCTGAGTGCGACCCTTCAGCCAATCTGCAATCCATCTGACTGTGTAGGCATCTATGCCACAGTCGCCTAGTTTATTAATTAGGATGGGGTGAGAGACGGTGTCAAAGGCCTTGCTGAAGTCCAGAAAGACTACATCCACCGCGACACCTGCGTCCATGGCCTTTGTGACCTGATCATAAAAGGCAATCAGGTTGGTCTGACATGATCTCCCCCTAATAAATCCATGCTGATTGCCCCTGAGCATCATTTCTGATGCCGGCCCATCACAAATGTGCTCCTTGATGATCTTCTCAAAGAGCTTCCCCAGGATTGAGGTAAGACTGACGGGCCTATAATTGCCCGGGTCCTCCCTTTTCCCTTTTTTGAAGATGGGGACCACATTAGCTACCTTCCAATCGTCTGGCACCTGGCCCAAGCACCACGATCGCTCGTAGAGCCGTGCCAGGGGCCCTGCAATAACCCCAGCCAGCTCCCTCAGCACCCTGGGGTGGAGAGCATCCGGACCCGCTGACTTGAACGCGTCCAGCCCCTCCAGAAGCTCTCTAACCCGGTCCTCCCCAACCTGAGGTCTGAAGGCGATCCCCTCGCGTCCGGCTTCTATCACAGCAGGGAAGTCCCGGTCCCTGCACAAGAAAACGGAGGTGAAGAATTGGTTAAAGAGGTCCGCTTTATCCTCTGACGCAACCACCAGATTGCCCCGCATATCCTGCAGGGGCCCCACATTACCCGGCGCCTTCTTCATCCTCCCAATATATTTGAAAAAGGACTTTTTGTTATCCTTAATCCTGGACGCTAATCCGAGCTCTATCTCCGCCTTGGCCTTCCTAACAGCCCGCCTGCAGGCCCGAGCAGAGGAGGTATACTCCTCTTTGGAGATTACACCCCCCTTCCACCGGGCGTACGCCACCCTTTTGGCAAGCAGGCATTCCCGGACACCCTTGGTGAGCCAGGGGGGCTTTTGGACACTCCTGCCCGCCTTGCTTCTTGTCGGGATGGACACCCCTTGGGCCCCGAGTATCGTTTCCTTAAGGAACGACCACTCCTCTTGGACGCTGAGTTCCTCTGCCCTCAAGGACCCCAGTTCCTCTCCCACTAATCTCCTCATCTCACTGAAGTTGGCCCTCCTGAAGTCTAGGGCCACCACCTTGCTGCGGGCCCTTGACACTCTACGCTGGATGGTGAATTCCAGCACGCGATGATCACTATTGCCCAGGTGGTCAAGAACCTGGAGGCCTCTTACCAGGTCGTCGCCTGCGGCCAGGACCAGGTCCAGCAGAGCATCTCCTCTGGTGGGACTGTGCACCTCCTGAATCAAGTGGAGGTCCTGCAACTCGGCCAAGAACCTCCTGGAGCGGTCCGTCCCGGCTGACTGCTCCTCCCAGCAGATGTCCGGGTAATTAAAATCGCCCATGACAACTACATCCCTTGCTTTTAGTGTCTC